TCTAAATCTGCTTTCTGCTAGCTTGTGGCCATTATTTCTTGTAACCCCCGGGGGCGCCTTGGTGAATAAAAACTCACCAATTCCCTTCTGTGCCCCCATGATGAATTTATAGGCAGCCACAAGGTCGCCTCTCAACCTTCTCTTGTGGAGGCTGAAAAGGTCCAGTTTCTCTAGTCTCTCCTTGTAGGGCTTGGTCTGTAGGCCCTTAACCATACGAGTGGCCCTTCTCTGGATTCTCTCCAGGTTATCCGCATCCCTCTTGAATTGCGGCGCTCAGAATTGCACGCAGTACTCCAACTGCGGTCTGACCAGTGCTCGATAGAGGGGAAGTATCACCTCCTTGGACCTATTTGTCATGCATCTGCTGATGCACGATAAAGTGCCATTAGCTTTTTTGATGGCTTCGTCACACTGCCGACTCATGTTCATCTTGGAGTCCACTAGGATTCCAAGATCCCTTCCCGCTTCCGTGCCTCCAAACAGGTCATTCCCTCGGTTGTAGGTGTGCTGGACATTTTTCCTCCCTAGGTGCAGCACTTTGCATTTCTCCTTGTTGAACTGCATTCTGTTGTTTTCTGCCCACTTGTCCAACCTGTCCAGGTCTGCTTGCAGCTGTTCCCTGCCCTCCGGCGTGTCCACATCTCCCCATAGCTTTGTGTCATCTGCAAACTTGGACAGAGTACACTTCACTCCCTCGTCCAAGTCACTGATGAAGCCATTAAAGAGTATCGGTCCAAGGACCGAGCCCTGCGGGACCCCACTGCCCACACCCTTCCAGGTCGAAACCGACCCCTCCACCACGACTCTCTGGGTGCGACCCTCCAGCCAATTCGCCACCCACCGGACTGTGTAGTCATCCAAGTCACAGCCTCTTAACTTGTTCAGCAGTATGGGGTGATCATAGTTGCCTTGACAACTGTCCTGCTGCTCATCACACCCCTCTCAATCATATTGTTTTCCAACCAATTTTCCCACTGTCTCTGTACGCTTGTGCCTTGCAAAGGGGTCAGCAGTGCAAACGTTCATCTCTGCTGAGGGCTTGTGGAGTGACCCCGCTTGGCCTATGCACACCTGGGATGTTGCACCAATGGTGCCGGGGCCATTGAGCCAAGAGTTGGGCATATATAACAGCACACACAGGGAACATCATCATCATCATCCCCCTTTGAAAGGCCTGTGTGTGGTGTGGGTGTGCACTGATGGTGTGTGGAGCTCAGGAGTACATGCTGGTTACTCTAGGCTGGGTGGCAGTGTGAGCTGGTGTGCGCTGGGGGATGGTGCGGGGGTGGGGTGTGGGTGTATATGTACTGCTACACACCTATGTGGGGGGCCCCTCTACGTGTCTATGTGCAGGGCCTGGCCTTGGGGCCTGTGGTTTGTTCTTCACCAATGCCTCAAAACCAGGGTTTCTCCTAACAGAAAAGTGCCAGAAACCCACCGGAGACCCATATCTGCGCTTTGCCCCAGACAAGCTGTACTATGCCAGGGAGGAGCTGGTGACTCTGAGCTGCCCAAAGGATCATGAGCCCTCGCAGCCCATGATCCGATGCCTCTGGAATGGGAGCCACAGTGTGTGGAGCGAGGCGGCCACCTGCCAGAGTAAGTGTGGTTCCCTCAAACCCCGTGGTCTCAGGGCCTGGTCGGGCAGCTTGGCACTCGCTGACACTGTGCTGCCTTGGGGCCAGGGTGGAGTCTTGCCCCCATGTTTTGGGTGAGCCCTCAACCCCTGTCTTGGGGATGGTTGTCCATCCAGAATCCCAGGGACTCTCAGCTTGGAAATGGGGGTGTGCGGGCGGTGTCCGGAGGGGCAGTATCATGCACATCTCCTGGAGCGTGGGGGTGCGTACATTGAGAAGCGCACAGGGTACCCCCAGGGAATCACATGCGTGAGGCACTGAATTGCAGGGAGGGTGACAAAGGGCCTTCCTATTCAGCAGCCAGAGGCAGGATGTCTGCGTGAAACCAGGTCTCATCTGGATCTGTAGCATCTGATGAGAATGGCATGCAGGGTCCAGCGGTGCTGGAGCCATTTCCCAGTGACACCGTCCCCATGTTCCTGCTGCAGGAAAGTGCCAGGAACCAGACACCTGGAACAGAGGGGCTGAGTTCACGCCAAAACAGTCATCCTACAACCCAGGCGATGTGGTGATGTGGAGCTGCAAGGAGGGCTATTGGCCCTCAGTGCCCCAGAGCACCTGCACAAAGTTGGGGACCTGGAGTGAGACTGTCTATTGTGTGGGTGAGTTTGAGACCCGAGTCATGGGGCTCCCAGGGGTCTGGGGTCCTGCATCTTGGCCCTTGCTGCACCTGGGCTTCCCTCTCACCCACCTTTCTCCACGCACAAGCCCTGGGCATCTTCACTGACATCTCAGCCTCTGCTGTGGTTTGGGGGTGCCCTGGTTTGTGCCCCACATCCAGGATCCAGGCTCCCTCTCCGGGTAACACTGGGGCCAAGGACAGTTAGGTATCTGGACCGGGAGCTGGTGGAGGGGCTGGGGGTGTCCATGGAGGAAGGCACAGGGCAGCTTGGGAGTGGCAGAGTAAGGGGAGCAGATGGGAGCAGGGGACTCATCTCTTGGGTCCCCGGGGCCTGGACTCTGGGCCTGGCTTGTGCCTGAGGGTGGGAGGCAGAGTCCGGGGCTCAGCCCCTTCTTCCCTGAGAGTCCCTCACTGGGCTGACATCAGCCCGTCTCCTGCCCGCTCTCCTTCCAGCCCATGGCTCTTGCCCTCTCAGCTGCCCAGTGGCCTGGCTTCCTGGGCGGTGGGCAGAATTTTTCTGGCCCTGCCCTCCCACTGGTGGGTGGTCAGGCTGGTCTGCTGTCCTGGTTGTTGATTGCAAAGATTATGGCCTTGTGGCAGGCCAGTAGGGGGAGCTCCTGTGTTGAGCTTCCCACCTCACCATGCCCGTCCACCTTCTGGACTCCACAAGTCTCTCTAGGGGCACCTAAGCCCTGGCAGACCCCCCTTTCGACCCCCACCACAGGGTCCAGGAGTAATGTGTGCTGCCGCCACCACGAGAAGGGACCGTCTGGGTCCTGTGTCCTCAGGAAAAAAAAGGCCTAATAGTCCTACAGGTACTAGACCCAATACAAGAACTTGGGGCACTTTCCCAAGTCAGGGGCCAGAAAGGATAGTCTCCCTTAGTCCGCTGACCCAAGGGGTCTCCTAGGCATAATTAAACCCACCCTTCAATAAGTCTCCTACGCCAGTGAAAAAGGAGAACTGTATTGGTTACAGAGGGTAGGGTTAGAATAGGGTAAGAGGTAGAGCACTATTGAAGGATTACCGTTGAGCAAAACAGTGTGGCTGAGGTAGCCGTTTGATACGCAAATACATCACTGGGAGCTGACAAACTCTCTAGAAACACTTACGAGTATCATCCAGAAGATGGCAGAGATCTGGCTCAGAGATTTCCAGAGAGAGAGCGTTTCAGGTGGATCAGACTCTCTCTGTGTCCTGGTGTTTGGGCCATTCTGGTAAAATGCCTTCTCTCCCCCTTCTCCTTGGACCAGGCCCTTATATAGCCTTTCTGACCTCAGCAGCCCAGTCCAGTGAGCAGAGGGACCACACCCTCAGCACCAGGCTTTTGTCACATAGGCAGGGAGGAAAATCCCCCCTCCTTCAGAAATTAGACCCCAGTGTCCCAAGCTGACTGATTTCTGGAGACAGACACAGACGGTGGCATTTCTGCCACAGGCCTTACATCCTGTGTGAGTGGTGCAGGCAAAGGAGATTCATAGATTCATAGTTATAGGGTTGGAAGGGACCTTGCAGATTCATAGATGTTAGGGTCGGAAGGGACCTCAATAGATCATCGAGTCCGACCCCCTGCATAGGCAGGAAAGAGTGCTGGGTCTAGAT